CAAAAACAGATAAGAGAGGTAGAGAAGAGAGAGAGAGAGAGACAGGGGAGAGACAGATAGAGAGAAAGAGAGAGAGAGAGAAAACAACCAAAAAAAAAGAGGGAGGGATGAGGCAGGAGAGGGGAGGGAGAAGGGAGGAGGGAGAGGAGGGAGAGGGGATAGGGCAGAGAGGCATAAGGATGAGGGAAGAGAGGAGGGATAGAGAAGGGAGGAGAGCAGGGAGGAGGGAGGAGGGAGAGGGAGGAGGAGCAGGAAGGTAAAAGCGTGAACGTTCGAGGAAGTCCTACGCGAAAGCGCCGTTCCTGAAGGAAGTCTCGGGCGGGAACCCACGACGGGCGGGCGATCCCCTGACGGGCGGGTCGGGCGGGTGGGACATTCAAGCGGGATGCCTGAGTATGGCGAGAGCGCAAATACTACGTAAATTGTAACGGCGTCCTTGGCGCAGCGTGTTTCCTAAGCGTCGAAAGCGCGATTTCTGAATATATCGCATGGAGGTCAAAGGCGAGAGGGCCATTCTTAAATAAAATGTGATTGGTTCTCTGGCGGGAGCGGGGGTCTGGATTCAATTGCGAGGAAATCTTGATTCGATTGCAAGGGCATCTCAAGCGGGAGCGCCGTTCCTGAGTAAATTGTGAGGAAGGCTCAGATGAGAGCGGGGGTCCCTGACTAAATTGCGAGGGCGTCACACGCGGGAGCACCGATCCGGAGTACTTTGTGAAGAAGTCTTAGGAGCGGGGGTCCTGAGTGAATTTCGAGGAAATTTCAAGCGGGAACCATTGTTGTTGTAATCCGGGGGGCCAGGGGCACACTTTGAGCAGGAAGACTTCCCCTGTCAAAAAACAGGGTGCGAGCGTTGAGGGGCACATTTTGATTGAGAAAAACAATATGCACCGGTGAGGGGGGTCAACATAATTCATTCTTCAGGAGCGAGAGAACAACAACAACAACAACAACAACAACAACAACAACAACAACAACAACAACAACAACAACAACAACAACAACAACGACGACAACAACATCAACAACAACAACAGCAACAACAACAACAACAACAATAGTTTTAAGACTGTTCGCCCTAATATGCTCGAGTGCCCAATAACGCGTATTTCCCAAACCCTCGATACCCGCCCTCTTCGTCTTCGATCGAACCCCTTTTGGCGGGTATACCTTTCTTCCCTGCAGGTCGGGCCCCGGCAAGCGGCGGGGTGGTCGCGGACCGTCGGCCTGGCCAGCGGCAGCGCTGATCGGCGGGGCGGCCGCGGACCGTCGACCCGACGCCAAGAGGGACGGACAGGGGAGCGACCACGACGACGACGACGACGACGACGACGACGACGTCGAAGACGACGGCGACGACGACGACGACGGCGACGACGAGCGAAAGCGAGAGCGAGAGAGAACGACAGCAGGGCCACGAAGGGCACGAAGTAGGCCACGAAGGGCGACAGCGGGGACACGAAGGGAATGCGTATGGGGCCACGAAGAGCGCGAACGAGCGGGGGCCACGAAGTGCAGATAATGCGGGGCCACAGAAGGCAACTATGGGGCCACTGAGGGTAGCAACTGGGCCACGTAGGACAGTGAGGGGGACACAAATGGCGACAGCGGGGCCACGAAGGGCACGCACATGGGGCCACAACGGGCGCGACTCCTGGGTGCCTGGGTGTCGGGAGCGCGGCGCTTGGGCAAATTGCAGGAAATTCCAACGCAAGGCCATTCTGCAGTAAGTTGCAAGCAAGTCTCCAGCGAGAGCGCGACTCCAGAGCGCCGGGAGAGCGATTCCTTAATAAATTGTAAGGAAGTCCCAAGCGAGAGCGCGATTCCTGAATAAAATGCGAGGACGTCTCGGGCGGGAGCGGGGGCCATGGCTAAATTGTAAGGAAGTCTCAAGCGGGAGCCGTTGTTGTTGTAACCCGGGGGCCAGGGGCCCAGTTTGAGCAGGAAGACTTCCCCTGTCAAAAAAAAAGTGCGAGCGTCGAGGGGCACACTTTGATTGAGAAAAGACAGTATGCACCGGTGGGGGGATCAACAATAATTATTCTTCAGAAGTGCGAATTCAACAACAACAACAACAACAACAACAGCAACAACAACAACAACAACAACAATTACTAGCACGTGGGGACACACCGTTCTCACCAGTGCCAGGGTTTTCATAGGAGGCGGGCAATACCCCCACTTTGTGGGGGGGCCGGTTCAAGCTCTACCAAATTTCCAAACGACTCTTCGCCACCACCCACACCCAGCTTCCCGCCCTATGACGTTCGGACACTTCACTTCGTGGCATGCGGACGACCGTGGCTACTATTCAGGGCCCCGCGGCCGACGACGACGGCGTGCGCGCGCGAAGAAAAAACGAATGTGTCCCGCATGGTATTATTTGACAGGGATGATGGCCCTGGCAGGTGCGCAACCGTTGTTGCAGAAGTTCGAAAAAGTTGCTCGCAAAAGCCCGTTTGACAGAAATGATTAAAAAGTGTTGGGTTTCCTACGAATCCGCAAGAGCGCGCGGGATGAAATTTTGACAATTTTTTGTTGAAAAACCATTGGTTTTTTGATGTTTTTATGTTAAAATCGCTACGAAAACTAAGGTTTTGGAAGGATTTCGTCTTGCGCGCGCGAATGTCCACTTTACCTTATTTTTTGCAAGGGATTCTTGAAGTTTGGTTATGTTAGAACAAGAAATGTCCACTTTAGCTTATTTTTTGCAAGGGAAAACCGATCGTAACAACACAACCGGATCCGGACTCCCCCGTTTTGCCTGAGACTTCCTCACGAAAATGATGAAAATGAGGCTGCGGCCTAGGCGCGGCGGGGGGGTCGTGCACCAGGGGTCCCAACAATAATTATTCTTTAGAAGTAATAATGTTCAACAACAACTGCAACCATAACAACAGCAACAACAACAACAACAACAACAGCAACAACTCCATAAGCATAAACTGTTGCCGCCCCGCGCGGATTTCTTGGGTCCGCGCTGGACCCCCGAGCGCGCCAGGATCGGCGCCAGAGGCGCCGCTGGGAGGGCCCAGCGCAGATCCAAGAAATCCGCGCGGAGCGCCAAAAGCTTCTGTTTACGGCGTGTACTCTTCTGCGAGGGGTGGATTGAAGGGGCCCTGGGACACACAAATAAATACAACAAATAGAAAGATTCCCCATCTGTTCCTTCTGGGTTTCTGTCTTCCCCCCCCTTGCCCATATTTTCCTATATTCTCTTGCTTGGGAACCGACGATTCATTGTGTCTGTGTGTTTTTCCTCCTCCTGGTGGATGCTGCGCGAGGAGGGGGGCCATCCACGCCCGAGGGCCCACTCGGGCATGGGGTCCGCCCCCTGACGGCACCCGGGGATGCTGCTGCGGTGCAGAAGCCAGGGACTCGGGCAATGCCGCGCCGTTGTCCAATTCTTGGGCCTCCACTGGGATGCCCGTGGGGGATTCTAAGTGGATGGGGTTACACTAGGGCTCCCAACTTCGCGCTTCGCGCTGCGCGAAGCGCGAATAACTTCGCGCTCTCGCGCCGCCCCCCCAAAGGGAGAAAAGGAGGACGAGGAGGAGGGGGAGGAGAAACGAGGACCGCGAAGCGCGAAGCGCGAATAACTTCGCGCCCTCGGGGGAGCCCTTGCTAAATGGATGGGGTTACATGTGGATGCCAAGGTGGGTCATACCTGGCCCAACCTGGCTTATAAGTGGGTTACACCTGCCTTTAGTAGCTTACGGGAGTTCACGATCCGGGCTAAGTGGGCTCCGCCCACTTAGCGGAGGTATCTATCCCCCCTAAGCCATCCGGGGCGCTTGCAACCCACTTATAAGCCAGGTTGGGCCAGATATAGCCCACCTTAGCATCCACGTGTAACCCTCCTATCCACTTAGAAACCCCCACGGTCATCCCAGCAGGGGTGAGCTCGGTGGCCGCGGGAGGCAGCCGAGACCCCTCTGGCGTCGCGCCCTTGCCCCTCCCCCCACGGCCCGATCGATGGGGCTGGGGCCTCGGGCCCAGCAGGGTCCCACCCCCCCATCCTTTGGCCACATCAGGGGCCCGAAGATGCACGATGGCCTGTGGGGCTCGAGGACCGGACACTCTGGAGAAGAATCAGGCAGGACGGGATGGGACGGAATGGGGGAAAGAAACCCAGACGTCCGATGTCTTGATGCTTTGAACACGAGGTCCCCGGAAGTACCGACCCTTGCCTCAGGGCCAGTGTTTCATCTCGAGCCGTTGTTTGACGGTCCCCAAGGCCCTTCCGAGACCGAAAACGGCGAACAACAACTCCGTCTGAACTTCCGAGACGTTCGATGCCTGGGAACACAACCACGGGCAGGAAGTGGGTGCGGGCGCCGCGGGAAACCCGAGAGAGCATCGTTTAACCGATCCTTTTCCCCACCAGCGTAGCATTGGCCCCTCTGGCCGATTCCCCCCCCCCCCCCCCGAAAAAGAGAGATTTATACACACGATACTCCTTTCGGGCGTCGCGTGGCCTATCCCTAGCTGGGGGGTGCGATGGTGGTGCTGAGATACCACATAGATGGCCCAGTGGGAATGAGGAACGGCGAAACAATACAGTCGGATCTAGGACAGAAAAGCACCCTTCAAGAACCTGGGACCCTCCGCCGGCCCACATGAAGAGCCTGCCGGGATGCCCCCCGCCCCAGGATGCACAAGAACATCCAGCAAACACAGAAAAAACTATAGGGCACCCTCCCCGAACCGAACTCGATCTTCTTTCGAGCAGAGGGACCGACAATCCCGCAATTCGTATAGTCCTACCACGAAGAAATGTTCGTAGAACCCACAGATGTTCGAAGAACCCAAACAATGCTCTTAGAGCACAAGCCCGATGAGTTAGAACAAGACAATCTCCGCCAGAAATGTTCGAAGAACACTTCGTGTAAACCACGGAAGGTTCTTAGAACACTGTCTGGTAGGGCTATAGGCGAGGCAGGACGCTTCGCCACTGCTTGAGTACCAACCGGTCCGACTGCACTGACCCACAGAGGCTCCTGCCCAGCGGCCCCGCCGGCGCCGGCGGCCTGCTCCCCGGGCTCCCCGCGCGCGGCCCAGCTGTCCGCCAGCGCCTGCCGCAGCCGCGCGGCCTCGGCCTCGTGTGAAGTCGGGCCCGTCCCTCTACAGGAGGAAAATTCAAAATAGTCAAATCATAGTCAGGGGACTATTTTTTGATATTTTTTGACCGTTTTGGAATGCTTTTCGAGTATGTTCTATTCTTCGTCGGAAATCCCCCTGTAGGGGGACACGCCCGACTTAAGCCTCGTGCTCCAGCAGCTGCCCGCGCAGGTCCCCGGCCTCGGCCGCGGCGCGCGCCAGCGCGTCGGCCGTCACCATCGAGCGCGCGCGCGCCAGCGCCTCCTTGGAGGAACAAGAAACGGCATATAGGCCGAAACTCTTGGCGCTCCGCGCGGGCTTCTCGGATCCGCGCCGGCCCCCCCTCCCTGGCGCGCGGAGCGCGCCAAGGGCGGGCGACGCCGGTGGGGCCCAGCGCGGATCCAAGAAATCCGCGCGGAGCGCCAAAAGCTTATGCTGATGCCGTTTGTTCTTCTTCGACTCCTCGCGCCGCTCCGCGGCCCTCCGGCAAGCCTCCGCCAGCCGCGCCCCAGCCGCCCGGGACTCCTGTGTAGGGCGGCGGTGGGCGCGCGGGTGCTCGGGGCACCAGTTGGGGGTTGCTGGAGGTGCCCCTAGCCCAAGGTGCCCTCAGCTTTTCGCCCAGTGTTGGTGCCCCTGGAGACCCCCTGGGCCTCGTGAGGGGTGCTCTGGAGGCCGTGGGGGCCTCCATGGAAATCCTGGGGCACTTGGGCCAGGGGTACTTCTGGCAACACCCGAACCAGGAGCCCCGAGGTCTCGTGCTTCTGTCGGCACGGGGTCCCCTGGACAACCTCCCACTTTACAGGGCCCATGCAGCTCTTCCCATGCAGACTGCGCTCCGCCGGTCCCGCACATGCCCCATATGGGGGAAACCAAAAGGTCAGAAGGTACCGCCACTCCTCTCAGACCGTTCCCAAAGTGCGTTCTGACCAGGATGTCGAGTCGAATGCAACCGACGCGATAAAAGGCTCCGAAGGCCCAAAAGAGCGGGGAAGGGTAGCGGTATCGTTTCTGAAAAATGCTCTCCAGTCGCCGAAAACCAGGAAATGTCCAAACCGTTGCATGGCTGCCCCCTCCCTCGAATCAATTGAGGCGACCCTCGCCTCGGAGGCCTCCGAACCTCTGGGCTCACTGTGGTCCCGGCCTTCTCGCGGCCATCCCGCCCTCCTCAACTGGTCGGCAAGTTGCCCGTGGTGGTGGCCGCACGCGTTTCCCCGGATTGCCCACCGTTTGCGCCAACGCGGCGCAGCGAGGCGGCGTTGGGTCCGAGCACGGGCGCTCCACACGTTGGCGAACGAATCCGGCGTTGCTTATTCTTGCGGGGCGTGCGTAGGCGCAAAAGCATTCTGCGGCAGCGGGCGAGGTGGGGAAGTGAGACGAAGACCGTCGCAGAGGGCGGCGGTACTGCTCAGAGCCCCTCGCCCCTCCTGAGAAGGTTGTTTGTTTCTTCGGGGAAAGAACACTTTTACAAAGGCTGGAAGACTTCCGAACCTTCTGAAAACGCCCGCCCCCTTTCACTTCCCCCCCCCGCGGGCTGGCCGCCGAATTCTGGCGGAGGACACAACTTAAGGCTTCGCTCGTGCAGCGTAGCAAGTGACCCATGCGGCCATGCCAGTACCAAGGGGCCCTTTGTACTCGACTGGAGACAAGTATGCCTTCAACGCCATCTGCCAGCCTACCAATCTCCTACGAACCGAAGTGGAACTTTGTGTATAAGTGCATTTACGAATGGCTGTGCGATCACCGCTACAGGGTACTACGTGAGCCCTGGTCATTATGCAGACCATGTCACCTTCTTAGCGCGAATTTTCCATTTGCCCAGACCTTCAGTGGACAGTTTGTTTCAATCCGCGGGCTGCGGAAATATCAACTCTCTCCCTGACGCCAGCGTTTCATTCCGTATTGCTTTCTTATGGTGCAGGGGCACAGAAAAGGGACAGAAGCAAAAACAAAGAAGACAGAAAGAAAACACGCATCACGATGTTTCGAGTTGCCAGGGAATCTGGGGTGAGCACAAGTCGAAGGATCGCGCCGATCTTGATCCACGGACAATGTTCGGGCTCTTCCGTAGGTCACGACGCCGTCAGGTGACGGATCCTGCCGTGCCGCCCCGCGCAGGTGGGCCCCCTTGCGCACGCGACGGCGTGGTCCTGATCGGGCCCAAGCATCGTTCCGCAAACCATCTCGCCGCGGAACTTGACTCAAGTCGGGCCTGTCCCTCTACAATAGGAAAATTCAAAAATAGTAGAAAAAACATCGGGGGGCGAGTTTGTTTTGCACTTTTTGATGATGTGGGGGCACTTTTGGAGGTATTTGAAATTTTTTCGCCAAAAATCCGCCTGCAGGGGGACATGTCCGACCTAAGACTTGACCTGGCAACGCGTCTGCAGTGCGTGGCCCTTCCGCAACCGCGGGCCGCGGGATTTGGGGGCATTTTTGGAGGTGTGTCAATTTTTTCGCCCAAAATCCGCCTGTAGAGGGGGACATGCCCGACCTAAGACTTGACCTGACAACGCGCTTGCAATGCGTAACCCTTCGGCACCGCGGGCCGCGGGCCGTCCAATTGAAGGCGCGTCGGCGACAGAGCACCCGCAACGGGCTGGCCGTCGTCCCGTGCTCCGGCACCGTGGGCAGCAGCAGCGCGCAGGCCGCGGCGCGCCGGGGCCTCCGCGGGAAGGGCTGCGGCCAGGCGTGCGGCCATGTGGAGCTCCGCGGCCGCGGGCCCATCAGGGGCGACCGAGATGGACCGCATCGAGTCCTGCTGCCTGTTCCTCCTCCCCCCATGTAGGGGAAACGAGCTCTATACACCGACGCATTTTCCGACCCTGCCCTGAAGTTCGCACAGGAACGCGGATCCTAGTGTATACAGGATCCTGGTGTATACATGTTTCGTTGCTTCCCTTGGAAAACGAGGGAAAAGTATACACCACACCACCCCGACGTCGTCCCCGACCCTGAAAAAGTCGTGGGATTGAAAAAAAAACGCCACTGGTAATGTACGTATGTGTTCCAGTTTCCGACCATGCGCCAGCGAGACCTGCAGGCAGCGGGCCGTGTTGCCCACCCGGGCGTTGAGCGCGGCCGCCGCGCTGGCGAAGTCTCACGCGCTCGCGGCCTGCCTCGCGAAGGGCTCCTCGGCGCTGCCCGTGCCGAGGGCGAGCGCCACTTTGGGGGCCGCCGCGCACCCTGCGGCCACGCTTTGGTCGGGCGTCCCCCTACAGGCGGATTTTGAAGGACAAATAATGGAAAAATCGTCCTCATATTATCTTTTATAGAGGGATGGAAAAGCGGCCCTACCCTGGGTTACAAGTGCGTGGTCTGTAAACCTCGTGGGAACCCCCAAAGCCTAGAGAGCCGCCAGGACGCGGCACATCACGCAGGGTTTACCCTGTCAGCCCACCGGAGTTTCAGCGCACGGCGCCTCGTAAACCAGGGTAGGGGCGTTTTTTATGCCCTTGATTTTCAACTCTTTTGAACATTCAGGCCCGACTTCAGGCCACGCGCGCAGGAGGAGGAGGAGGAGGAGGAGGAGGAGGAGGAGGAGGAGGAGGAGGAGGCGCCGGGGGGCGGCCGCGCCCGCCGCGGGGGCTCCGAGCGGCGGGCGCGCCCGGGCCCAGTCCCTGCCCGCTTGGGGCTCGTCAGCGCCGGGCGGTCCCCGAGGCCCTCAGAGGATCGCTTCACCGATCCCCATCCCCGGCGGCGTGGCCCGCCTCGGCGACCTGCGATCTGACTGCCCCCCTCCTCGCCTCCGAGGGTGGACACCAACGCCGCGAGCTCTGCCTCCCTCGGAGGGGCCGCTCCACGTGCCGGCCGGCCCGCTCGACGCCCCTGAGGACGGCGGCTCCGAGCATCCACGGGTCGACTCGGAGCCACGCCTCTCGAACCTCGTCGACATCAGCCAGGTGCAATGCGCAAACAGCCGCGCTTGAGTATCGTTTATCCATTCACCATCCCCAGCGGCGTGGCCTGGGCCCCACTGGCCGATTTACCCCGCTAGATGGGGATATAGGCCGTTCCCTTCGGGCTTCGAGGGGTGTGTCCCCAACTGGGGTGATAATCTGGTGGGGGCCTCTCAGGGGATGGGGATGGGGATGGGGATTGGATAAACGATACCGACCCTCGGGGGCGTTGTCTCCACCTCCTCCTCCCCCGTGAACCGCCCCCCCCCCCCCCTGCGAGGGGCGCGCGCGGGGTATGCACGACCCCAAAATTGAAGCATGGGCGGGGTGCGGGCCCCAGACCCCCGCAACAAAACAAAAACACCGCCAAAGTAGCGCTGCGACTGCCACTCACGCAGCGCACTGCGAGATGGGGAAACCACAAGGTACCGATACCGCTGCTCCCCGGACCTCTCCCGGGGTGCGATCGGGCCAGAATCTCGAGGCGAATCCAGAGGTGGCGACGAGAGCCTCGCAGGAGGGCCCAACAACAGGGAACCGAAGGAAGGGTAGTGGTATGGGTACCTGTTCCTCCTCCGACTGCGAGCGTGGTCGAAAATCTTCACCGCATGCAGGTCCACGAGCTGCGCGCCCAGGAGGTCATTAGGCGAGCCCTGCGCCGTCCGACGGGGCATGGCTCCGGCCATCTTGGAGCCCGAGGCCTGCGGCCACGGCGTCTTGCAAGGCATGCGGCCAAGAGCTCGCAGAGCCTCTGTGTGACCCTGCCCATGGCCAGGGCGCCACCTCCGGAGCCTGCCGCCAGCTATTCCCAGTCGTCGTCCTGGCGGTGAGTCACCCTGAGATCCAGGCGTTGCAAATGCTTCACACCGGGAGTCTTCGCCCAGTTTCGGGCCCCTGGAGCCTCACACATCGATCGGGCTCAAAAGATGGCACAGAAAGATGGCGTCTAGAGCTCTGGTGGCGGTTTCTTGCGATAATGCATTTGTCTTACAACGTCGGATCTCAGGGCAGGCCACACCCCAGTACACGAAGCTCGTCCACTGGTACTGTAGGATCCCACCGCATTCCTCCGCCTCCTCTGCACGCGCGGCCGTCAGAAAAGAACGGGAAGTCGGGTCCTGAGGGTCTGATTTCCAGTGGTGAAGATGACGGCGAGGATGATGAGGGAAGATGATGCAAGAATGATGGCACGTCATTGGTCCGCCAGCCTTGACATCGAATGCGTCACGGAATAATGGTGCTCAACTGCATCTTCAACAGGGTAGCTGCAAATACTGAACCGTGTACAAAGCTGTGAGCACTACTTCGGTGCCATAGACAACGCCATCAATGTTGGTCCCGCTGGACTGCGCCACGCCTTATCGAAATTGACCAAATGCTGACGCGCCGCCTGGTTCGATAAACTGGAGTAGCGTTTCCACTAGGTCATCAAATAATCGTTCTGACCCCGCCACGTCGCTTGAGTCTTGGGCGGCCTCATCAAAGACCTAGAAACATCGACATGCTTATCTGAACAATGAGATGTGTCATCTGGTTCAGCAATGTCATACGCGACCATGTTACTGCATCCTCTCGAGAATTGTCCTGGATATCGTGGAGGCCGTCGTGATGGACGGAACATGTTTTCCTGCGTTTTGGCGATGCTGCCCGAGCACTATGCACATTCGGGCGTGGCTCGTACTACGCGCCTTGAAAGTATCGTCTCCCTCTTTTCGGACACTGTTGCACTGGAGCGTCCTCCTCCTCCTCTTCCTCCTCCTCATTCTCCTCCTCATTCTCCTCCTCCTCCTCCTCCTCCTCCTCCTCCTCCTCTCACGCTCAGGCAGAGACGATGTGCTCATGCTCCTTACTCAGTGCACGGGATGCGGCATCGAGCCCTGGACTGCTGAGCCCGCCCCCCCCCCCCTCGGGAGCCCTCGAGCGCGGAGGCACCGCGGTGCAGATGCGACGCGGCATCCGAAAGACGCAGCGCTGCCCTCCACTGGGCGCGCCTCGAGGCGGGCGAGGGCGGCCAGGGGCCGCGGACGACGACGACGCCGACGACGACGACGACGCCGACGCCGACGCCGACGACGACGAGGAGAACGCCGACGACGACGACGACGACGCCAACGACGGCGGCGGCGACGACGAGAACGCCGACGACGACGACGACGACGGCGGCGGCGCCGACGACGACGACGACGCCGACGACGCCGACGTTGACGACGACAACGACGGCGGCGGCGGCCGAGGGCGGCGGCGGCGGCGGCGAGCAGCTGGCTCCTCGAGGGCCGCGCGGGAGGCGGCGGCGCGGCCCTCGTGCTCCCGCAGCTCGTGCCTGACCGCCGCCGCCGTCCCGGGGGGCGTCCACGAGCAGGGCGTCTCAGAGTAGGTCGGGCGTGTCCTCCTACAGGGTGATTTGTTTTTTCTTTTTCGAGTAGGCTTTCCTGAACCTCTCTCCTACAGGGTGATTTTGTAGGGCAAATGATACAAAAAAGTCAGACACGTGCTCGAACATAGTAAAAAAGAATGCGTCCCCCGACTCTTCTTGGACTATCTTTTAAGATCCCCCCCTGTAGAGGGACAGGCCCGACGTAAGTCTAGGAGGGGGCTCGGCAAATCACCAGGGCGAGGGGGGAGGCCGAAATATTTCGATACCGCTGCTCCCAGGACCTCTCCAGGGGGTGCGATCTGACCAGGATTCCAAAGAGAATCCAACCGCGGCGACGAGGAACGGGTAGCGGCATCGGTCCCTAGTTCTCACGAGGACCATGGCCCGACGCGCGCGGGTCCCAGGGGGATGGGCAAGGGACGCGCTGAGAGAACACGAGGGGCCATGAGGTCAGGAATCCCAGCCGTGCTATCCACACACCCCTGGTCCTCACGCCCTTCTGGGAGGCCTCTCGATGCCCGCTGCCATCGCCGTCGGCCCCCGTTCAAGATCGACCTCTCCCGGGCCTCCCTGTGAGCGTGCTCTGGTCAGGATTCCGAAGCGGATCCGAGCGCGGCGGCGAGGGGCCACCACCCCTTCCAAAAAGCCCCCCCCTCCAGCAAGACGCCCCAAGAGCGTCAACACCGTCCTGGCCATGCCCCTTTCACCGCAGCGACGATGGGGGCTCCGGAGAGCCCCCCAAATGCCGCACCTAAGCGCCAAGATCTCAGGCATTCGATGTCTTGGTCTGTTCAACGCGTGGCCCCCGGGCCTCTGGGCAACTCCCCCCTGGGGACCGCCCTTTCTTCCTGAAACAGGTCTTGCCGACGGTCTCGGAGCCCGCAAACGGCCTTGGAGGCGCCGAAAAACTACAAAAGAACACCGTCTTGATATTCCCAAGATGTCGGAAGTTCTGGAGGGACAAATAAACCAATACCGCTACTCCCTGGACCTCTCCCGGGGGTTGCGTTCTGACCAAAGCTTCGAGGCAAATCCAGCTGTGGCGGCGAGAGCCTCCCAGGAGGCTCAAAAAAGAATGAGAAAATGCGAAGGGTACAGGCATGGGTACCTGTTCCTCCTCTGAATCTTAATCCGCCCAGGGTGTCGGAGGTTCGGGATCGCCATGGTCATGCCGTCGGCGTCATCGTTGCGCCTCTGCGCCGCCGCCTTGAGGGCGCACTGCTCGCAGCGGGCCATCGTCGTTGCGTCGTCGCCGTCGCCGTCGCCGTCGTCGTCGCCGTCGCCGTCGCCGTCGTCGCCGTCGTCGCCGTCGTCGTCGTCGGCGTCGTCGTCGTCGTCGTCGTCGTCGTCGGCGTCGGCGTCGGCGTCGTCGTCGTCGTCGTCGTCACTGCGCCTCTGCGCCGCGGCCTCGGAGGCGCACAGCTGGCGGCGGGCCTCGGAGCGGGCCAGGGCGTCGGCGGCCTCCTGGCGAAGGGGGGGGGGCAGGGCGAGGGCCCTCGCCGCAAAGGCTCGGGTCGGGCAGGTCCTCCTACAGGCGGAGCTCGGAAGAAGAATCACACAAGTTTCAAACATACTCATACTTTGTCTTATAAAGGGGCCCTGGGACACACACAAATGAACACACACACACACAAAAATAACAGGATTCCCCATGTTGTCCCATATGTGATGTGTTTTTGTCTTCCCCCTTCCCATATGTTCCTATACTTTGTGGGGAATCAACGATGAATTATGTCTGTGTGTTTTTGTTCCCTCCTTATCTTATTTTCAGTGAACAAGAATCATTGTCCCCAAACTATTGCTTGACTATGTTTTGAATAGTCCTCCTGCGGAGGGACAGGCCCGACTTCACGCAAGCGCCGTGCGGTGCGCCCCGGTGGGCCCCCGAGGGCGCTTGGGTGGCTTCGGGGGCGCCCTGGGAGGCGCAGTGGGGGCGCCCTTCAGGGCAGGGAAGAGGCACCGATGCCGCCGCCCTTCCCCCGTGGTCTCGCTTGCTTTGGGTTGCCTGGGGAGCCCTCGTCGCAACGGCTGGCTTCGCCTCGCAGTTCTGGCCAGAACGCGCCCCAGGACATCTCGGCAACGGTACTTCTTTTCGTTCCCCCAGTCTTTGCTCGGGCCTGTCACCCTACAGGAGGTTTTTGGACGGGAAATGAAACATACTCAGAAAATGCTCCAACAATTATCAAAAATAGTGAAACAAACTCGTCCCTAGATTATTTTTTACTATTTCTGCATATTCCTCCTATCGAGGGACAGGCCCGACTTAACACCCCAATCATAGGGGGGCTCGAGGGCTGGGAAGGGGCGAGGGCTCGAGGACGCCCTGGGGGGCTCGAGGGCCTCATCCTGGAGGGGGGGGGGCAGGCGAGCCTAGCACCGAATCGGCAGGTCGGATCGGCGATCGAAATGAATCGTATCGGCCGATTCCGGAGACCCTGAACCCAAACATGATGTCATCTCTTGGGGGCGCATGCGTTATTTCCGCCACCTTCCGCCGCCTTCCGCCGGCGGAGGCGACCTCGTTTTACCTCCGCAGACCTTCCGCTGCCCTTCCGCCGCCTTCCGCGGCGAAAGAGATGACGCTTGCAGGAGAGCCCAGAATCGAATTGGCAAGTCCGATCGGCGATCGAAACGAGTCGCATCGGCGGAAATCGGCAGCCGAATCGGGAAAAGTCGAATCGGCGGAAATCGGCAGCCTAGTAGGCGTCCATTGAGAAATCGGAGCCAAAATCGGGTTCCGAAATCGAATCGAAGCGGAATCGGAAATGCTCGAAATCGAATCGACTCGAATCGGGGGAATCGAAATGAGCACTGGGGGGGGTCATTTTTTCTGTTGCGGCGAATGCGCGGCGATGTAGCGGCGCCGTTGCCATGACCAGCCTGTGATGGGAGGATCTGCGGAGCACCCTTGTGCAACCAGCAGAGGTCTGCTCGAAAATTCCTTGGCGCAGCGGCACAAAAAAAAAGACACCCAGCTGCTCGGCGCTTCTCGGGGGGCCGCCGTGGCCAGCGCCCCGCAGAGCGCCGCGCGCGCGGCACAGTGGTGAACGGATCGGCGCTGCCGCGCGTGCTGGCGGAGCACGGGCTGCTGAGAACCCCCCCCCGAACTCGCAAACGTCGCTCGTGCAACGGCTGGCAAAGAGATGCTCAGATGCTCAGCGCTCCTCGACAAACAACCGCGTCTGGCGCTTCGCGTAACGTCGTGCCCCGCAGTTCTGCAGCAGCTCCCGAAGCCCCATGCGCCCGTACGCCATCCACTGCCTGGCCTCAGGCTGGGACGCCGGCGAGCGGCCGGTGGCTGCTCCTCAGCTGTCGCCGTTGGGCTGGAAGCAGCCACCAAAGACAAGCCAGGCGAGGAGGCTCTTGGAGAGCAGCGAGAGCAAGATGTAGACCTTCTCGCCGTGCCTGTAGTCGCGCCATGCTCCGATGCGGGCGTACTGCAGCGCCATGTTCACGGGAAACGTGTTGAAGAAGAAGAAGTAGCCAAAGAGGATGCCGTAGACAAAGCCAGGGATCTGACTGAAATTGCCACCGCCGAGAAAGTACTGTGCCACAACAATCCAGGGCGCCAGTCCCGCAACACACCCGTGCACGAATGGCGACCAGTCCGTTTTCGTGCGCTCGGGCGGGTTGAGGGTCTCCATGTGCAGCCCGAAGAAGTTCATCGAGGCGTTGACCAGGAAGATGCAGATGAGCGAAGAGAGGTCGTAGCAGCCGAAGAGCGTTGCGATCGCGCAAATCATGACCGAGGAACTCAATGCATACTCGTACCACCGCGCCAGGTTGACCCCGCGGTTGATGTTCTCGATGTACCACGAAAACTTCCACACGATGCACAGGTGCGCCGCGGCGGAGAGCAGCAGAAAAATGGCAGAGGCCAGGCCGATCTCGAAGGATCCGACACTACGCGTCCTGGGCTCCAACGATTTGGTCACTTCGTTGAAAACAAGAAACGATGTGGTGATGTCTTTCTTGAAATCCTTGATTTGGGCAACGCTTTGCGAAGCGACGAGCATGAGAAAGCCTTGCACGAAATGCAAACATCCGGCACCGACGTTCCATTTCTTCAGCGACGCATCCGTGATCGGCGATGTGGACAAAGAAGCCAGGGGAGCTCGGCAGTCCATGGCTCTGTGATCTGCCCTCTGATACCACCTCGTGCAAAATAAACCTTTCAGCCAAAGCGGCTTGAGCCAAAATGGCTACGGAGCCCGGGGGGGGGATCATGGGGCCTCCTGGGAGGTTCCGGGGCCCTCGAGGTTGCGCGCCCGTCCGAAAGAGCGCCGCGGTGGTGAACCTCGGGCAGCTCTTATATGACGACGGCTGTCCCGTGAGGGATCGGATGCCGCTGCCTCAGGTGCCGACCCCTGGGAGTGCAAGGGACCCCCCCCCGACGAAGAATTGGGCGCCCGAGTTATCCGGGGTAACTCGGGTCCGGGGTAACTCGGGTTTGGATCCCCGAAAAAGGAACCCGAGTTATCCCTGACCCGAGTTACCCCTGATGATTCGGGGGCTCTGGACGCCCGAATTATCCGGGGTAACTCGGGTCCGGGGTAAGTCGGGTTCGGCTTCCCGAAAAACGAACCCGAGTTAGCCCTGACCCGAGTTACCCCTGATGATTCGAGGCTCTGAAAGAAGAGTGGGGAAGGGGGGTGGGACAGGGGAGAGGAGCGGTCCCCCGAGGTGTCCCCCAGGGGGGAGGCCGCTGCCGGCGCCAGCTGGCCGCCAAGTGCGGCGCCCTGGGGCGGACAAGCCGTGCCCCACATAGCCCGCCCCTGCATCTCCGACAGGTGCGAGTCTACAGCCTGCCCCGAATCAGATCAACGAGGACTGAAGCCGTCGAGCCCACATGCCCAATACAATGGTTGGCGACACGCGGGCATCCACCCAGGATGGGCCGGCTGAGGCACAACTGTTCTGGGCGGGTGCCTTTTCCAGGCGATCGGGTGACCCGGAGCTGGGACGCAGGACTGCCAAGGGAGAGCCAAGCCCCTTTTCTGGGCAGTCGTCTTATGGTTAGGTGAAAATTCTTGCAAATGAATGTTTGACGGACTGTGGGTGGGTTGGTGACGCGGCGCGGGTCGCCATTGCCTGCTGTGTACAGACCCACCAGACAGCATGATGGCCACCCCGCTGCGATTGTGCACTGGTTTTCGAGAAGGATTGTGGGGGCCGGCATGTTTCCCGATGTGCGCTGTCACTTGCGCGGGCGCACCCGGCACACTCTGCGTGTGCCCTGGACGTAACGCACCTGGCGCAGCTGGATCATGCGGCACACATGGCGCACTTGGCGCATCTGCCGCGCAAGACGTGCCTGGCACGCCTGGGCCCCAGGGGCGCCTGGCGCACCTGGAGCGCCTGGTACGCGTGGCGCACCTCGCCCCAGCGCGCACATGGAGTCTGTGCTGGTACCCAGTAGCTGCCCATCCATAGACGACCGCTGAACATGCTGAGGCCCAGGTGATTTTATGTGTTGTGAGGGCGGATGGGAGTGAGCGGGACAGCTTGCGGGCGGGGAGGGTGTCTTGATTACTGCTCGCTATTAGTAAACACTCACTCTCCAAGGCGACTGGCAGCCAACCCTGACCAATGAGAACATCCCCCCAACAACCTAGCAACAAAAAACAATACAGACTACACTTTGCCTCCAAATCTGGAGCATGCGCGGGGGGCTCGCGACCACCGTGCTTTAGTTTTTGACAGGGACGGCGGGGGTGCCGCATATTGCTTGCTACTCGCAGGCCAACCACCCTTGTCAAAAAACGATTCAAATGCACTTTGGCTCCAAATCTGGAGCCAGCGCAAGGCCCTCCTTTCTGTGAGCTCTCATCCGTTTCTCGACTCCTCGAGATGCCACAAGTTGTCCATCAGCGTCGGTGCTTTGCGCTCCCTTGAGGAGCCGCCCTTCTCACAGAATGCTCGGCACGCTTCAAGGATATCCGAGATCCTGAACTCCTCGGGGCCAGGGCCCCCAGGCACCCGGGTCCCCATCCCGCAGCTGGCGCCCCTGGCGCGGCTGGAGCCCGTGGCACAGTAGGCGCGCGTGGAGCATGTGCCGCGCCTGGCACGCTTGGGCCTCCAGGGTGCCTGGTGCACACCTGGAACCCGTGGCGCGCATGGCATGCGTGGCGTTTCTCGGCGATCTGCTGACACTCCGCTGACAAGCGCGCTTCTGGGGCGGGTGGGCGTGAGCTGCACGGACTGCTACCTGGGAGGGTAGCGTTTGACCCCTCTCCATGCCCCCCCCCTGCGGGTCTGGACGGGGCGCCCTGCGGGTCGTTGGAGCGCCCAAGATAGTCCAAGGTGGCTGCAAGAGGGACCAATATAGCCCCAGATGGCCTCCAAGAGTGCTATCTCAAGATGGCTTCCAACACGCTCAGAGGCCCCACGACCGCTCCAAGAAGGTCTCAAGTGCCCTCGGAGCCTCCCCAGGACGCCTCCAAGAGGCCAACATCCCTCCAACACCAAAAGAAACATCAATGTGTGTTTGGCGTGCCTTCTCGCCTTTGAGCTTCCGATGGCCTTCCGAAGCCTCAAGATGGCTGCAAGATGGCCCAGGAGAGCCCCAAAAGAGGCCCGAGAGGGCTCCGAAGCGGCCCCAGAGAGCTCCAAGAGCGCCACAAGAGGGCCCCACGAGACGACGTTTGGGGATCTCCAGGGGGCACCCTCATTAGGCCCCCCCCTCTTCTTTGACCGATGTTACTTCCAAAATGGTCTCAGGAAGGCCCCCAAGGCCACCTGGAGGGCCCCAATGCCTCCCAAATGGCCCCAATATGACCCAGGTGAGCTGCCAAGATGCTCCCATACCGAACAATCCACGAAGGCACTGACAGAGGACTCCCCTGACTGCTCCGGCAGATCCCGATCTTCGGTTTGACGGCTGCCCAACCTCTTTGATCCACTGCGCGCTCCCACACTTCCCCCACCAATGCAGCTCGCCTTGGCACCATTGCCAGACGGGCCGGTGGAGATGTGCGAAGCGTTAGCATCTCGAGCAACGGGAAGGTTGAACCACATGTAACCATTGCACGGATGGGGGGCGATTCCTTGTCAAACTGGGGCTCCGTCTTGCACCTCGCCGTCTCCGGCAGCCAGGAGCGCAACCTGGTGGTGCAGTGGTTGCACGGCGAAAGGGCAGATATCGTTGTCGAGATGGGGCCCTCGCGAGGCACGTCGCAGACGTCGTGTGCGGATCCTGCCGCCCTGCGGACAACTCGCTGGGAGGATGCGCGGCGCTTCCCCTTCAAAACGAAGCCCTCGAACACGAGCGGCAGGCCAACGGCGCACTTTTCTGCCAGGGAGGCACGTCGCCTGGTGGACACCCAGCACGGGGCTGGGCCCAAACGCTGATTTTGTTCGTCGTTGTGTGGTCGTTTTGTGTGTTCGTTCTGCTCCACCTGTTTTCCTGTGCCTCCCTGCCGCGACTAAAGGCGAGACACCGCCGAAGTCCAGCAGAACAGCGTCCAGGTCCAGCCCTGACACAGCAGGCATGTAAAGAGTGATGCGGAGTGGGAGTGGGACTTGGGACGGTGGGGTGTGCTGCAGCATCGCCGATGCTTCCTAAACTTTACTCTGGTCCCCCATTGTCCTTCTCCGCCTCTCCATCCTCCCTCTCTTCCTCCTTTTCCTGCTCCTCCCTTCTCCTCCCCCTCCTCCTCCTACCTTCTCCTCCTCCTCCTCCTCCTCCTCCTCCTCCTCCTCCTCCTCCTCTCTCCTCCGTCCTCCCGGCTCCTCCTCCTCCTCCTCATCCCTGCTTTCGCCGTACCTTAAGCCGGGGTAAGGGGGTGAGATCGAACAAAAAACGGAGAGCCCCCCTACCGGGAAATCGATTTCGGTTTCGTGTTCGTGCGTGCCGTGCGTGCGAGCGAGGCAAAGCTGCGTGGGCGGGCGAGAAGACAGTCTCCTGTAGCTGAGGCGCGGCCGGACCAAATGATTCCGGACCGGCGTCCAATGGCCCGCGGTGTCCCGCCGGTGTCCCGCCTCCGGCTGACGCGCGGCCGGACCAAATAATGATTCCGGACCGGCGTCCAGTGGCCCGCGGTGTCCCGCCGGTGTCCTGCCGGTGTCCCGTCGGTGTCCCAATGATGATGACGATGATGATGATGATGATGATGATGATGATGATGATGATGATGCTGATGATGATGATGAAGATGATGATGATGTCGATGATGTTGATGATGATGATGGTAATGGTGGTGATGATGATGATGGTGTCCCGATGATGATGATGATGTTGACGATGTTGGTGATGATGATGGTGATGGTGGTGATGATGATGGTGTCCCGGTGATGAAATGTTGATGATGATGATGATGATGATATTGCTGATGATGACGGTGTCTCGATGATGGTGGTGTTGATGATCATGATGATGTTGATGATGATGAAATGTTGATGATGATGATATTGCTGATGATGGTGTCCCAATGATGATGATGATGATGATGATGATGATGATGATGATGATGATAATGATGAGGTTGATGGTGATGCTGTTGATGATGATGGTGATGATGATGATGATGGTGTCCCAATGATGATGCTGCTGATGATGATGATGACGATGATAGTGTCCCGGTGATGATGGTGATGCTGATGATGTGGATGCTAATGAGGTGGTGATGATGAATTGGATGATGGTGGCCCGATGATGGTGATGATGATGATGGTGTCCGGATGATGGTGATGATGATGATGGTGATGATGGTGACGATGATGATGGTGTCCCGGTGATGATGGTTATGTTGATGATGATGATGTTGCTGATGATGATGCTGGTGCCCCGATGATGATGATGGTGATGATGATGTTGTTGATGATGTTTATGATGACATTGATGAAATGATGGTGACGATGATGGTCAGTGATGATGGTGGTGTTCCGATGATGATGATGGTGTCCCGATGATGTTGATGTTGATGATGTTGTTGATGATGATGATGATGGTGACGATGAGGGTGTCCCGATGATGATGATGATGATGATGATGGTGCTGATGTTGTTGATGATGATGGTGATGAGGTGATGATGATGGTGTCTCGATGATGATGATGATGATGATGTTGATGACGTTGATGACGATGATGATGATGACGTTGACTGTGAGATCGATTGTGATATCGAT